AAGAGCAACACACAACAAACAGGGGAATTCCAGAAAGGAAAAAAATCAGGATCAGCTAACACCTCCCAACAAAGGATTCCCCCAGGCAGGAAGCAGCCAGGCTTTGAAGCTGCCAAGCTATTCCATGCTAATCAAGGTGGCCTCACCCCTACTTTATTTATATTTTAATGTACTAAACGTGCCAAGTTTGTATGAAACTGTGACTTTTATTTCTTGTGCTGATCTATGACCAAAATAAATAATTTGATTTGCTTTGAGGTGGCCAATTCAACATTCACACTTGCCTCCAACGGACAAGAGTTCTTTCTCCCACCCTGGACATTCCACAGATATATAAACCTCACTTACTTAGTTCCCAATAGAACTGACCACCTCTGAGGGTGTCTGCCATAGATGTGGGCAAAATATCAGGAGAGAATTATTCTGGAACATGGCCATACAGCCCGGAAAACTCACAGCAACCCAGTGATTCCAGCCATGAAATCCTTCGACAACACATTATTATGGTTTTTTATTTTATTTTACTAGCCTTCCCCTGCCATGTGTTGCTGTGGCCCAACCTGTGTCTATGTGCTTTTTGTGTGTTTATATGTGTATATATTTGTGTATATGTGTATATACGTGTGTTTGCATCTGCATTGTAATGTATTTTTATTTTTGGGCTTTTTAAGTCCCTTCCACTGTGTTTATCAGTGTTTTTAGGAGTGATGGTCACTCGTTGGCCTGAGAGGTGTCTTGTGTCCAAATTTGGTGTCAATTCATCCAGTGGTTTTTGAGTTATGTTAATCCCGCAAATGAACATTACATTTTTATTTATATAGAGTAGCGGTCCCTTGCCACGCATTGCTGGATGGCTCTTTGTCAGGAGGGCTTTGATTGTGTGTTTTCTTACTCTTGTTAAGGGAGTTGGACTGGATGGCCTTAAGTAGTTTCTGTTGGTCCTGGGGTTCTGTGTGGGAAGTTTGTCCCAATTCTGTCGTTAGTGGGGTTCAGCATGCTCTTTGATTGTAGGTGAACTGTGAATCCCAGAAACTACAACTCCCAAATGTCAAGGTCTATTTCCCCCAAACTCCATCTGTGTTCATATTTGGGCATATGGAATAGTTTGGTCTAGATCCCTAATTGCTTGAGTCCGCAGTGCTCTCTGAATGTAGGTGAACTACAATTCCCAAACTCAAGGTCAATGCCCACGAAACCCTTCCAGTGTGTTCTGTTGGTCATGGAAGTCCTGTATCCCATGTTTGGTTCAATTCCATCATTGGTGGAGTTCAGAATGCTCTTTAATTGTAGGTGAACTATAAATCCCAGCAACGACAACTCCCAAGTGTCAAGTCTATTTTCCTCAAACTTCACCACTGTGTGTCCTGTGTGTCACGTTTGGTTCAATTCCATCATTGGTGGAGTTCGAAATGCTCATGGATTGTAGGTGAATTATAAATCACAGCAACTACAACTCCCAAATGTCAAAATCAATGTTTTGAGTGATGGTCACTCCTTGGGTTAGTAGGCGACTTGTGGCTAAATTTGGCAGCAATTTGTCCAGCGGATTTGGAGTTATGCTGTCATTCAAAATGAACAGAGCATTTTTGTATATATAGATTTGTATCCTGCTTTTATCTTCTGTGATCCTCTGTGATTGTTCACTTTACAGATTTTCAGGCACAAAAGAACGTCTTCCTGATTGCTTTTAACACAACTTTCTATGAAAGGCATTTTCATCAAGGATTAAACAACCCCAGTGTGTTAAGGCTCCCCTCCCTCTTTCTCTCTCCCGGCTTTCCCCGCTTTTGGAAAAAAGAGCCATAAATGAATCATTTCATTGCAACCTTGGGCAAATGGGTCTGAGGTGCTGGATTGGAAGTGAACCATGCAATTACATAAACATCGGAGCGGCCAGTCCGCCAGTGAGTGGAAAGACATGGATGTTAGAGGATTATCCAAACAGTAGAACACTTTTTCCATGTGTGTGTAAGAAAAAAGCCTGGCACACTTGGGCTCACTCCCCTCCCTGCCGCCAACACTTTGGAAGGCGAGTCAGGAGAAGCTCAAAGGGGAGATTCAGACTTTCAATTTGTGTTTGTGATGAAGGAGAAGCAATTCGGCAGTGGGGGCTTTGGTAAACTCACATCTCCTTTGCTCCTTGGCCTTTCCAGCAAGAGGAATGGCAGGCAGAGATGCTTCGCCGCCTGAACAATCCGGCCTAGAAAAACCAAACTAAGCAAAGAAAGAGAAGACTGTCTTGAGACGTTGCACTGAACTACGTGAAACTTTGGGTGGGCTGGACGTCTTTTTGCCTTTCAATACAAAACTTCAAAAACTTCCAAAAACCTGTGGGAATGTCGTATTGGGATGTCGTAGTGAGATGCATAGCTGCCTGTAGCATCAAGCATTTGTTTTCCTTCATAACCAAGGCATAGCTATGGAACACAAAGCTATTTTGGCCTTCTCAAAGGTGGTAAGTACTCTGCTGAACGTGACATTGAAATGGCAAATGTCCAGTACAGTTTGTGCTGCTAACTGATATTGGTGCTCTGTCTGTTTGTTTCGAAAAATCCATGTTTTTAAAGCTGAGATCAAGAAGAAGGGAAAAATCTGCTACCTCCGTCTGTTATCATCTGTTTTGTGTGTACTTTACTTTGCTTTAATGTAATTATTTGGGCTTGGCCTCATGTTAGCTGCCCCGATTCCCTTTGGGGAGATGGTGGCGGGGTATAAATAATATCTAATTGTTGTTATTGCCTTATGTTTTTGATTTGCTTTGAGTTGTATTTGTTATGCTGTTGTTGTGTTGAGGCCTTGGCCTTTGTAAGCCACATCGAGTCCTTTGGGAGATGCTAGCGGGGTACAAATAAAGTTTAATAATAATAATAATAATAATAATAATAATAATATAATATTATAGTATATTTATTTACTTTATTTATTTATTTACTTTATTTGTATACCACCCCTCTCAGCCTTCCGGCGACTCGAGGTGGTTTACAAGGCAAATTCAATGCCACAAAAACACAGTACAATTTAAAAACATTAACAGCAATAAAATCAAAGCAGCAGCAATAAGAACATAAGTCAGTAAATCATCAATATATTATTATTATTATTATTATTATTATTATTATTATTATTATTATTTTACAGACACAAAAACACAGTATGTCAAAGCAAATGAGATCTATATGCTGAATATTATTATTATTATTATTATTATTATTATTAAAAAAAAAAAAAAAAAAAAAAAAAAAAAAAAAAAAAAAAAAAAAAAAAAAAAAAAAAAAAAAAAAAAAAAAAAAAAAAAAAAAAAAAAAAAAAAAAACAAAAAAAAAAAAAGAAAGAAAGAAAGACAGACAGAAAGAAAGAAAAAAAAGATTGACACAACAGTACAGTATGTCCAGTGTTAAGATTTATTCTGTTAGTGGCAATGGAGAAAATACAGTTGATTATTTATTATTATTATTATTATTATTATTATTTGAAACACAACAAGATGAGTCCACAGACAAGATCACTCTGCTGGCTGTTGTATTGGATCACACGTCGGACACTTCCCAAGTTGTCTTGGCAAATTGACCAAGGCTCAGGGGCGGCTCATCCATTACGCAAAGTAAGCGGTCGCAGAACACTTTTTTTGCCAGGGGCGCAGAGGCGCCTCTGTAAATGCCCCTCGACTGCCACTTGAGGAGCGCCCCCTCAGCTCACAACAGCCCTAGCAGTCCGGGGGGAGCCTCGGCTTTCTTGTCTCGCTGCCGGACGATCCTCTTCCCAAAGGGGCCGGGCCCTTGAGCCTCGCCTAGCCCCTCTCATTCCTGCTCCACCCGGCCACCGGGTGCACGAGCAGAGCCGGTGCTCAATCGTTCTCCGCGTTCGATCCCTTCCCCATGACTGGCTCCCTTTCCCGATCCCCCGGCGCTCCACCCGCCTCCTCTCCTCTCCCCAATCCGGGGGTGGGGCGGAGCCGCCATGCCTGGCCTGCTTCGGGTCCGGAGGCGTGTCTGAAGACCCCAGCGTGCGCACCAAAAGTCGCCTCTTCTCCTGACCTTCTCTTCAGCCATTGGGATCAAGAGAGAGAGAGAGAGAGAGAGAGAGAGCCCCTCCGGCTGGAGGTATCTCCCACCTCCGCTCCCTCCTTTGTTTTTGCGCCTACCTTCGGGAAAGGTGGGCATCTCCACCTCCTCTCTCTCTCTCTCTCTCTTGGTCCCAATGGCTGAGGAGAAAGTCAGGAGAAGAGGTGACTTTTGGTGCACACGCCGGGGTCGTCAGGCACGCCTCCGGACCCAAAGCGGGCCAGGCAAGGGAGCAAGTGTGGCAAGTGTAGTTACTGGGATGTATAGTTCACCTACAATCAAAGAGCATTCTGAACTCCACCAATGATGGAATTGAACCAAATATGGCACACAGAACTCCCACAACGAACAGAAAATATATATCAATGATTGGTTGGGGTGTGTGGTGGGGCCAAAATACTGTTTGCTTACCGTTGAAAATTACTTAGGGCCGCCTCTGTGTATCGGTGAATAATGCGTGCAGATCTCTGCAGCTGGCAGATGGTAATTTTGCCAGCACCAATTGTGTTTAAGTGCAGGCCAAGGTCTTTAGGCACTGCACCCAGTGTGCCGATCACCACTGGGACCACCTTGACTGTCTTGTGTCAGAGTCTTTGCAGTTCGATCTTTAAATCCCCATATCGTGTCAGCTTTTCCAGTTGTTTCTCTTCAATCCTGCTGTCACCTGGGATTGCAACATCAACAATCCATACTTTGTTTTGTAACACGATCGTGAGGTCAGAAGAATTGTGCTCCAAAACTCTGTCAGTCTGAATTCAGAAGTCCCAGAGTAGCTTGACGCATTATTATTATTATTATTATTATTATTATTATTATTATTATTATTATTATTTTGAAATCATGTAAGTGGCTTTCATGAAATCATGTAACAAAACCAAAACAAAGAGGTTTGATTGAGGCCTTTAAGACAGGACCAGACAGATCAGGGGTCCCCAAACTAAGGCCCAGGGTCTGGCCCTCCATGGTCATTTACCTGGCCCTCGCTCAGGGTCAACCTAAGTCTGAAATGACTTGAAAGCACACAACAACAATCCTATTTCATCAGCCAAAAGCAGGCCCACACTTCCCATTGAAATACTAATAAGTTTATATTTGTTAACATTGTTCTTCATTTTAATTATTGTATTGTTTTTAAGTGTTTTTTGCACTACAAATAAGATATGCAGTGTGCATAGGAATTCATTTTTTTTCCAAATTATAATCCGGCTCTCCATCAGTTTGAGGAACTGTGACCTGGCCCTCTGTTTAAAAGGTTTGAGGATCACTGAGGCAGATAAACACAAGCAAGAGGTAGATAGTAGTTTTAAACCCCTTCAACCCTGCCATATATTCCAGATTATGAAAAAGGCAATCCACATGCTCTGCTTTGACCCGGATTATCTGAGTTGCCCAGGTTATTTGAAAAAGTCATTTTTTTAATTGTACAAAATGCATAAGGTTGTGGAGTAACTCATACAACTGACATTTAGATCCATTGGTGTTTGGGTTCTCTTGGTCATGGGTGTTCTGTGTGGGAAGTTTGGCCCAATTCTCTCATTGGTGGGGTTCAGAATGCTCTTCGATTGTAAGTGAACTATAAATACCAGCAACTACAACTCCCAAATGTCATGTCTATTTTCCCAAACTCTACCAGTGTTCACATTTGGGCATATTAAGTATTTGTGCCAAGTTTGGTCCAGATCCATCATTGTTTGAGTCCACAGTGCTCTCTGATGTAGGTGAACTACAACTCCCCAAATCAAGGTGAATTTTCCCCAAAGACCTCCAGTATTTTTTGCTGGTCATGGGGACTCTGTGTGCCAAGTTTGGTCCAATTCCATCTTTGGTGGAGTTCAGAGTGCTCATTGATTGCAGGTGAACTATACATCCCAGTACCTACAACTCCAAAATGTCCAGGCTAATTCCCCAAAACCCACCAGTATTCAAATTTGGGCATATCGGGTATGCATGCCAAGTTTGGCCCAGATCCATCATTGTTTGTGTTCATAGTGTGCCCTGGATGTAGGTGAACTACATCTCCTATAAATCTCTCCAAACATGTCCAGTATGTCTGATTGGTTATGGGGATTCTGAGTGCCAACCTTAGAAACTGTGGCATAGACATGGAACTGGGAAGCCCTGGCATTTGAGCATTCTAACTGGAGGTCAGCTGTGACCAGCAGTGCTGTAGAATTTGAAGAAGCACGAATGGAGGGTGAAAGAGAAACATGCCAAGGGGAAACCATGTCAAGCCAACCCCAACTGGGACTGCCTTCCACCTGGAAACCGATGCCCTTACTGCAGGAGAACATGTGGGTCAAGAATAGGGCTCCACAGTCACCTTTGGACCCACTGCCAGGACACAGCACTTGGAGGACAATCTTATTTGGACCATGAGGGATCGCCTAAGTCAGTAAGTAAGTTCCAGGTCCATCGTTGGTGGAGTTCAGGGTGCTCCTAGATTGCAGGTGAACTATATATCCCAGTACCTACAACTCCTATAAATGTTGGTGAATTCTCCCCAAACCTATCCAGTATGTTCAGTTGCTGATCAATTCCTATGTTTGCTGTCATAGAAAAGAATGGAAAAGGGTTAAGGGAGAGGCCGTGGGCAGGGTCATGCAAATTCCACACCAATGGATGGAATCAGAAACACTGGGATGTCTGTAGTGGAGGAAACACATAAAATCTAGGATGAAATTGCCTGTATGAAATCCTTCACTTGAGTGGTGGATTTTATGATGTTTGTGGAAAACATTGAAAGGCTCTTCATCAGGTGCTCTGCTATGGCTGACTTCTCTACCAGAGAAGTCAGCCATAGCAGAGCACCTGATGAACCAGCCTGGACACAGCATATTAGTTGAGAACACAGAAATGCTGGACCACACCAACAACCACCATGTCAGACTACACAGAGAAGCCATTGAAATCCACAAGCATGTGGACAATTTCAACAGAAAGGAAGAGACCATGAAAATGAACAAAATCTGGCTACCAGTATTAAAAAAACTCTAAAATTATAACAGCTAAACAACAGAGAGGAAAAAACCAGGCACAGATTAACACCTCCCAGCAACAGATTTCCCAGGCTCAGGCAGGCCTTCAAATGCTAATGAAGGTGATCAGCTAAACATTCACACCTAACTGCAGCAGGGAAAAGCTCCTTGCCCCACCCCAGCCATTCCACAGATATATAAACCCATTTTTCCTACTTCCAACAGACCTCACAACCTCTGAGGATGCTTGCCATAGATGCAGGCGAAACGTCAGGAGAAATGCCTCTAGAACATGGCTCTATAGCCCGAAAAAACCCACAAGAACCTAGTGATTCCAGCCATGAAAGCCTTCGACAATATAATTATAAGATCTATCTACCAAAAAAGGTTGCAAGTTCGAAGCCCCGGGTTGGCGTGAG